GGAGGTGGAGGTGGAGGTGGAGGAGGTGGAGGAGGTGGAGGTGGAGGTGGAGGTGGAGGTGGAGGTGTGTGTTTGTTTTAAATCTTCTGGAGATTCTGATGCAGGTACCTGAGGTAAAGCCTGGGGATTTATCATTGTCAGACTTTCCCACCAATAATTCTTAGGATGAGGAAAGTTTGAAAAGGTTTGTGCTAGATTTGGGGAGGTAGGGTTTAAAATTCCAGTCTTTATAGTCAAGAAGCTTGTGGTATGATGGGAAAATCGGGTCAGTAAATATCCCATCACCAGCAGGCAATGATAAGTAAGGCAGAGGCTTTGCTAGAGCAAGAGCAGGGCACTGTGAGAATGTGCAGAAGCAGGCAGAGCGGGAGGTGGGAGTCGGGCGTTTATTTAAAAAGATGTATAGTAATTATTAGTCGGGTGAAGCAGAGGAAGAACAGCATTTTAGGCAGAGGGCAGCATGACACTGGAGAGGCAGGTTGAATTCAACCCGTGAAGGGCTTTCTGACCAAGAAGGCTATGAAGGAATTTGAAGCAGAGAAGTAATTAGATCACATTTGCACTTAAAAAAAAGATAACCCTGCTATGGTACAGATAATGCATTGAAGGGAAGTAGGGCTGGAAGTTTCTCTGGAACCGTCACGCCCACTCCCCATTGCTGTCCAGTGGATCCCGACTCCTGGGACTACTTGCCCCGTAGATCTTCAAAGCTGTCATCTTAAGGAACCAGATGGCCATGTCTTTCCTGCAGAGCAGTCAGTGGGTTCAGACTACTCAAGTTTTGGTTGGTAGTACACGTAACCACTGTGCCACGAGGGCCCCTTCCATGGCATAATAGAATGGATTGTACGTAATAAACATGCGAGCTTGTGAATTTTGAGCCTTTATGCCAAAATCTGTTCTTAGGCTGTTGCTTGGTACCATTGAGTGGGTTCCTACTCATAGCAACCCGTCTACCCCAGAATTAAATACTGCCTGTTACTGTGCCGTCCTCATAATCAATGTAGCCCCGGGGTCAGTCTGCCTCATTGAGGGTCGTCTTCTTTTCACCGACACTCTGATTTGCCAAGCATATTGTCCTGCAGGGGCGGGTCTCTCCTAGTCCTAGTACACCAGATGTACTAGGACATGTAGTATATATAACATGTCCTAGTACACGAGATGAAGTCTTGCTATCCTTACTTCTAAGGAAACTTCTGGTCCTACTTCTTCCAAGACAGATGTGTCCATTCTTGGACAGTAACTAAAAGAGTGCTTTGTATCTATCGAGGCCCAATACATGTTTGGTGAATTAAACCTTTCCTGAAGCTTCCACTTCTGTTCATCTTTCTCCTGAGTCTGCAGAAGAAGTTTATTTCTCTAACGAAGAACTTGGAAAGGTAATGGGAGCAACGTTTTCCCTCTTTGACCTTTGCACCTTGTCTTTCTGAGTCAAAAGGTGGAGAAGCCCAGTCTCACTGAGTCTGATGACTGCTTTCTGCCCCATCAGGAGGCTCATTGCCTGGAGGATCCATCTTAACTAACCAGATGCCAACATAACGGGTCTCTCCCACCCCGAGTTTTCAATGCTCGGTTGCTGGTATCCTCTTCCTGGTCGGGTCCACTCCTCTCATACCTCAGATCCTGTTTTCGTCTTCCCCAGTGGATCCGGCCACCCTCAGTTCTCTTCTCTCCGATTCCTCATTTTGTGTAGCCTTCATCTGTCGTTCTGGTTCTTCGTGTTCTTCTGGGAAAGGCACGTTGTGTTTCCTTAAGATGGTGGCAACCCCTGGGAAGGAACCTCGTCTAAAACCTTCTAGCTATAGCCTAACGCCATACTCAGAGTAGGTAGGTATTTAAGGAATACTTATTGGATTGCATTGAACCCCAGGTAGAGGTTAATGAGAAGAAATGTAAGGGCTTTTACATGGTCCTTCATGTGCTCTTTCTATTCCTACTAGGTCAGCTACCACCTTGAAATGAGCTTTTTTGAAGTATATAATGAAAAAATTCACGACCTTCTGGTTTGTAAAGGTGAAAATGGGCATACGAAGCAACCTGTAAGATTAAAAAATTATTTGTCTTTGATTTCTGTTTTTATAAATGCATGGAATTGCATGTTTTTTAAGATTTAAAGTTGTACTAAAATGCTATGACATGATAGCCAATACTTGGGAGTAATAATTTCACTTTTGTTATTTAGTAAGTAAACTGAGCACCGGTAGTAGAAGTGAAAGTTGGATATTAAAATACCTCTTTTTTATTTTAATCATATTTGGGTAAAAGTTAAAGATAAGTTATTTTGTTATACAATTTAGTTAGACCACTTAAATGGAACATCTAACACCTAAACATATAAGACCAAAAAGTAGTAAAAGTTACAGAAAAAAAATTTTTATTGTGGAATTTATATTTCACTGGGTTATGTAGAAAATTGCTATTTCATAGAGAATTCTTTTCTGTGATATAGAAAGTTTAACAAATGCATAGGCTTTTGGAAAAATTGCTTTATGAATTACAAATTTTCAATCTTGAAAAGACCTTTGCTTTGGAGCACCAAAGACCCACCTAATGTAAAGGCGCCAATCGGCTGCTGGAGGGCACTTGACCTTGCAGCTTCCTCTTGGCAGAATCAAGGGGTTCAAAACAAAACAAAGCAAAAACAAAACTTGGCATTTTATTCTGGGACCTCTATGTACTTTAAATTTTCTGATCACAGAATTTATAATATAAGAACAAAGAAAATGTCAAGTGCCTGGAATTTAGTGAACAGGTTTAGAGGGCTACTTCAAAGCATATAAATAATAGCTACTGTGAGATTTAACTAATAATTAAACCTTGTAAGTCATTGGATATTGTACTCTAGTGTTGGATATTGTGCCAACGTGTGGTGTTGAGGTGCTTTCTTAGTGCCCTACGGATTTGTTTTTGTAGAAACTTATGTTTCTGGTTGTAAAAAAGATCTCTTTACCTTACGCACAAAATATAGAATAATAATCATTAGGAATTATTTTCTTTATGAAAGATTTGCCATATACTTAATGATGCTAGTGTTTGCTTCTCCTAGCTGAGAGTGAGGGAGCACCCTATTTCTGGACCCTACGTGGAGGCGTTGTCAATGTAAGTGCTTGGCTCCGAAAGGGCAAGCAGGAGAAAGCACATGAATAGAGTGAATGCTATTCTCCCACATCCTTATTTTCTCCTCATTTGCCTCCCGAGCTGTGAAATTCTGGATAACTGCTTAGCTTGTTACCCGTTCTGCTCTTCAGTTCAATGTTCTCTGCTTCCAAATGGAATGTTAATTCCTTGCTTTTATATTTGTATTTTCACTGCATCTATAAAGTGCCTGACCTGGAGTATTAATTACGCTGACTATGAAATGAGTATTTGATTTTTCTGCCCTTCACTCTCTTTGCTTTCTATTAACTTAATTCTTTGTTCTTGATCTGCTTTGTTTACTTATTACTTTAAGATGAAGAGAGACGGCGTGAAGACGCATTCAAAGTTGTTTGGAGCGTGCTGAGAGTCATTTTCTTCCAGCACTTCAAATGACTTTCTTAAAGGATAGAGACAGTTACTAGGTTTGAGTTCAACTGCATTTATTAAACCCAGGATTATGTTGAGACTCAAACATGTGTGCATGTCTGTGCAAAATACATCTTTTGATCACACGATTATAGAATTATGAATATTGTAATGCTAAGATACTAAGCTATTTCATTCAGAAAAATCACTCTCTGGTAAAATTAAAAGATTGCTTTTAGGATAGGCAGATTTATAGAGACTGAAGTTTGCTAAAGGTTATTGGGGGCAGGAGATAGGGGGAAAGGGGGAGCACTGCTTCAGGTTCCCTGAGTTTCTGTACTGAGGATGGCAACACTTAAGAAGTGGGGAGTGTTGGTGGTTGCACGGCCTGATGAACGTGATGCCCTGAAGGGCACTTGTAAAAAAGTTGAAGTGGCAACTGTTCTGTTATAAATGTATTAGCACACAGAAAGTACACATATGCACACAAAACCACATTATTTTCTTTAAGAAAGGGGTAAATGAGAAATTCTATGAGAATTAACATAAAGGTTATTTTCTGAGAATCAGTATCATCAGTAAAACTTATTTTCTTTTCTTTAAAAATAGGAATGTTGTCAGTTCCTACTCTGATATCCAGGTAAGATTAATTATCTGTATTTTGTCTTTTCCTTTGCCAGAAAGATCATAGTCATAAATATTCATAAGAATATTTCTCCTTAATTGCTGTTTGCATAAATAGATGGTTAATCTCATTAATATGTCATGAACCGATTTTGTTTGTTAAACTTTAATCAAATGGATGGCTCTTTAAAAAAAAAAAAAAAAAAAGCCAAACAAACCATTATTTCAGTTAGTTGTAGAAATGGCCTTTTAAAAGTTTTTTTTCCCTGAAACAGATTTCTGTGATATAAAAGAAAAAAAATAGACAATGGGAACACAAATGAATAAGAGATGAGCATTTATTAATAGTCTCATTTTATAAACTAATTATAAATGGGTACATGTGCTTACTTAGCTTTGTTGCTCTGTAATTTGTTGTTTTGATAAATGGCTGCCTGCAGCTGTGACCTCCCTCCCTTCTCTCTCATTAGAGTTGGCTGGCATTGGGAAATAAGCAAAGAGCAACTGCCGCTACTGGTATGAATGACAAGAGCTCCCGGTCTCATTCTGTGTTCACCCTTGTGATGACCCAGACCAAGGTATTTGGTTTCTGTGTGTTATGTTCGGATCTATATCTATATCTAACAGATTATTCTGCTATAGAAGGTTAATAAATATATTTAAAATATCATGATTTAAATTTTTTTTGTTCAAGTCAAAAGAGTAGTCATAGAAACATCTACTTTAGAATGTAAATCTTTGTGTTGGACATTGTGCAGACACCTGGGCCCGTGGGGCTTTTAGGTGCACTGACAGGGTCTGCTGAGTGGCACGTGGCCTAAGCAGCTGCCACTGAGGACACCTCAGGTGAGTATTTGGCATGTCCTGCCTGGCTGTTGCTGCCTTCTATACAGAGAGAAAGTCCGAGACAACCTGCCCAGGGAGCGCTACATGCAGTTTGCCAAGGGGGCTGAGGTTACCCAAGCCAGGCCTTCAGTGCCTTTCATTGGCACCTTACAGTATTAAACACGGCAAAACATGGGGATCCCCCTCCGCCCCCGGGGTCTGGGAGCTAAGGGACACCAGTGTCCCATTGCTGTAGACTAGGTGGCTTCCAGGCCTCGTGCGGCAGCTGTGCCGAAGGAGGCTCTGGCCTCAAGTAGAAGGTCTGGTGTCCTGATACTCAGGTCCCTGGGTACCCCGGACATCTGTGTGGTCGGACACTGCCCAAGGAAGCATGAACTCTGAGTTACTTACAATGTCAGGGTATCTCATCATTTCAAAATCCAGAAATACACGGTGACCGTAGAGTGTTTGGAAAACATATGAGAAAGCAAAAAGGTTTTAAAAACTCAGCCATAGGTTCCACTACTCAAGTAATACTTCCTCAAATGTCTTGATATAATTTATAAAATCTACAGTAATTACATGCTATTAAAATGCTTTGCAAAGATCATTTTAAATAACTAAAGGTTTCACTAACTCTTACCATCTACTAAGTCTCTCTCTGCCATTGGCGTTGATCGGATGCGGTCTTTCGGTGCTTTTGCTCATGAGTGCTGAGATAAACACGTGTCTGTGTCACGCTTTTTCTCAATGTTACCTTAATATAATTGAGGAGTCGTGGGCTTTTAGCCTATAAAAGTCATTTCGTTTACTTTGGCATTTGCCAACCACCACTCAAATGTTTCCTTTTTAGTAGACCATGGGAAATGTATGCATTATGAAATGATCACAGCTTCAAGAAGGGGTGGTTTAAAAAAACGGAAGCGGGTTGGTGATCTTCTATACAACCTTCCCTCAGAAAGAGATGCATAGTGAGAATTGAAGACTTGAATCTTTTCATCTCGTTGGCTGCAGACGGAGCTTGTGGAGGGGGAGGAGCATGACCACAGAGTCACGAGCCGCATCAACCTTATAGACCTGGCGGGCAGTGAGCGCTGCTCTGCGGCCCACACCCGTGGGGACCGGCTGAAGGTAAACGGAGGCTTGCTTCATTTAGAGCCGTGGCCGGCAAGCTTCTCACTCTGTGAGGGGCCTCACAACAGTTTAAAAACTCATCCGAGAGCCATACACCTGTATGTACAAACAAATGAAATCACCATTATCTGAATAATATCTTTAAAATATTTTAATTTTCCTCAAGAGCCACAGATGACTTGCGATCCACAGTTTGCCAACCCTGGATTCAAAATTGAGTAAACTTACCCCCGCCCCCCAGAAAAAAAACCACCCAACATGATATCTTTCTCTGCAGCCTACAGAACACACTGCTGCGATTTAAAGGTGTGGTGGTCATGACTGATTTTCTAAGAACTGTTTGAGGGAGTCATAAGAAAGTCATTTATGGAAGAAAGTACAAATTGAGTAATGCTACAATGAGAAAAATACATTTTGTAAAATTAATTTATTGCCGAGCAGCTCTTTGAAACTTAATTTTTTTTAAATCTCCTTTGCAGGAAGGTGTGAGTATTAACAAGTCCTTGTTAACCTTGGGCAAGGTTATATCTGCACTCTCGGAGCAAGCCAACCGAAAGAGAGGTTTTATTCCTTACCGTGAATCAGTTCTTACATGGCAAGTATCTGGTTTTCCCCCTTTTCTCTGTACTGTCACTTGGGCAAAGGTTTTCAGAGCAGATTTATTTTGTATTCAACTGATGATATGCATTTGATTTTATGTCATTGATTGCAAACCCCTCAAAATAACATCACTTCTCTCTGTGTCCCCTGTGTTTCCCTGCTCCATCTGCTTTCTCTCTCAACTCCTGCGGACGTTGTCTGTGGGCTCTTGCTGCTCTTTTGGTCTTCCATGGCTCATTGTTCTAAGGTGAGCCTACCTCCCTCACGTGTGTTAGGGCTCACCATATAGACCTGTCTGGTGCTTGGCTGACAGGTGAGCCACTGCGAGTGAGTTTGTTCCAGGCTGGCGGAGTAACTAATGGCCATATAGTCTGGGTGGTTCTGTTAGGTTTGTGGGATGGTTAACCTCGGTTCTTACTTTGCAACGCTGAAAGAATTCACGCTGCAGAAGCACGTTAGTAATCCAAGTAACTTTGATGAGGGAAAGGGAAGTGTCGGGCAATGCAGTTTCAGATAGTGCACACTATTCCTGGAAAGCCTGCAAGGCCGCCTGGTCGGGGGCGTGGGTGAGTTCACGACCGAAACTTGTCACTTGAGGGAAGCATGAAAAACCATGTGGAAAGATGTCC